ACAGGCAAGGCTGATCTCGGAAACTCGCGATCGCTGCACAACAGTCCCGACCCAACATGGGAACTGCCTCAGGCCTTGCGGAGTTGACATGGTCATGTTTGACGTGTGTTGCACTTATTTATAACGTACTTTCAAGCTACAGGACAGTGGACAAAGAATGCTCACGTGTCCCGGCCGGAGGGCAAAGGGAGCATTGCCAGGCTAAGCTCCTCAATGTGGAGGGCCAGCCGGAAGGACAGGAGCCTGAAAGCTGCCAGGCAAAACACGTGTACAGAAGCAAGTAGTTGTTTGCAGGTTCTCTTGCCCAAGATTTAGTCTGGCCAACCTCAGCGCGACAAATGTAAGCCTCCTGCAGCAGCTGGCCGCTGTCTTCCGGTGGTGTCCACAGCGGCTGCAGGCGCGCCTGTGTTGCTTGGCCGGGCGTGATGCCACGCATCGTCTGAACGGCAGCACACGTGTTTTTTGAAGTTTCCCCTGCCGAATGCATCTCAGCCCAAGCGTCATGCAGCAGTTGTTACTTAGATCAGTTCTCTGCTCGACTCTTCCCTAGCCTCCAGTCCCGACAGCTGGAACCCAGTGAGGCGGATCACCTGCAGTAGAGACAAACATACCACAGGGCACTCAGCAACCAACGCGCCAGTGGTGGCAAGCCTTTTAACATTGGTGGCAACTGCTTTCGAACACAAGGATTTGCCAGCCTGCTGAGGAACCACTCCAGCATGCAGCAAAAGAGGGTCAGCTACCTGGCTTTGTCACGCGGACGAGGTCGATTCAACTTCATAGGGATCATCTGCATGTAGCACGTATGCCATGCTTCGCGTTGACAGTTGCAAACGCTCGAGAAACAGGCCTGCGATTACACCTAGCCTGAAGATTTGAACTGATCGTCTCAAACTTGCCTCCCAACTTGTGCCCACAGGGGGAGGGGGGCGAAACCTTCGAAGCAGAAGGCAGGAGCAGGCTCTGGGCAGGCGTGCAGCATGTATGTGAAGGTATTTTCAAATATGTCGAGCGCATGAGCATGGGCGGCAGAGTGGAGAGACCCGCGAGCATGAAACTGACTACATTTTGAGGTTCCTCCTCCCCCATGCCCCTAGGACAGGTCAGCATAGCATGGCTGGGTTCAAGACGAAAGCTTGAGGAAGCTTTCGCAATTTTTCGGGGACCATCTGTGCAGACCTCTTTCTGAAGATTACGCATGTTGGCATTGGGTGGGCTGTAAGTATCGGAGCACCTCTCCAGTTTCTGTGATTCATGCCAGGCCATTCCGAAGAAGCTTTCACAAACACACTCGTCGCGGCCTCCCCACCTCACCCGAGCCCGCGAACATGCCAATTCTGGGAGAAGACAGAGTTGGAGGGGGAAATCATTTTCACGCTGCTCAGCTTCGAGGCAGCTTCATTCATGATTCTGCCAGATACTCCTGTGCACGCGGGAGGGGTACAGGGGAAAGCCAGCACTATGCCATCTCTATATGCTAACGATCAACAGCCACTGGACCGGACAAGCTGGCCAAATCCTTGCACCTGCTTTGAGATGTAATGTGCCGGTGCTGCATGGTTTGCTGTTGATGGATTCTCGACCTCTGGTGACCAGACACAAGAGTCACAAAAGCAAGCTGGGTACAACGGCCACTTTCGCCAATACTCGCATGCGATCCTACAAGGCTGCCCAAGTTCATGTTGTGACTTCAAAGCCCCCCACATTGTGCGGTCTACACTATTTCAACCGTGCCCCCAAGGTCAGCATGTCACAAAAATGTAAAGTATTAGAGAGATGTCTTCCTTGAGGCCCGAAAGGGGGTCGACTTCGCCAAGATCGGCAATGTCCTGTCCGCAAAGACCCGGGCATTACCAGAAGCCGCAGTGGAGGTTGTGGTGCTGGATGCCTCTCCTAGACAGAGAAACAGAGAAACACATAGGCTCAAGGACCGCTGGCTCATCGCTCTGAGAAGCAAGAGAAACACGTTGCTGATGCCCGCCTCCTAAAGTCAATGCTGCGAGCTCCCAGCGGTTGGGCGATTGCAGCAGGACGGGCGTAAGCACCTGCCTGTTTCAGCTTATGCGTGACACCAAGGCAAACAATTCTCGTGTCATGACTTCTCCAGAAACCAAAGTGGTATAAACTGGTAAGCCGGTAAGCCGGCATTTGCTAGGCACACTTGCAACATCGGGTAGAAACCAAGCCCACAGAGCCGTCCCTCCTCTTTAGCAACTGCATTATGACACGAGGCCCTGACATGAAGAGTTCGTGCGAAGCTCTTGTCTGCATGGCCTTTGGCGGGTGAAGTCTGTTGGTTCTGAGAACCGAAAAATAAAATGCGGCTCCCATGAGGCTAGTGTCCAGTCGGATCCCTTGATTGGGAAGGTGGCGTTTCGTGCATGTAAGTGCTGCGCGTTCTTCAGCTTCACCAATGCCACGGAAGGTTCCGAGGTATCTCGCCAGCACTGGCCTGGCGCAGAGGTGCAGCTTTGCTTAGGTTGCTAATCCTGGAATCCAACAGAGCATGGGCTAGCCTGGCTCCACGAGACCTCCAGGGCCAGAGCCCAGTACGCAGTCCGCAGCCCAAACAAAACCTGTGGGAGCCCGCGCCCGGAGAAAGCCTTGCAGGACATGGGAGGACAACTGCTCCACAACGATGGCTGCTTTTTCTTTGCTTTGCAATAAGGGGGTGGTGATTTTCGTTGGCTGCTCTCTTTCTCTCTGTCTCTCTGCCGTGTGCCATCCAGAAGGTCCAGCAAGCCAGGGCATGTCAAACTGAAAAAACTGTGCTGTCAGCAACCTGTGCCTCAGCGTTACGCTTCAGCACTCATGAGCTGCATCACCCACACAAACCACAAATCCCGGGCGCAATGACAGGGTGTAGCCACATGACTCTCCCTTTGAACAGCTGGACTCTGTCACCAAAAGGCCCTAAATTGCTGGCTAGTCACTGCCAACAGGTACATCTAGCACTGGCGTCACGCGGAAGGTAACCTGGACAAGAGCCTCGAGCTGAAAACCCAGAGCTTCGGAGAAAGTGCGTTCTGCTATATGGGACGGCAGCAGCATCTGAGGCCAAGACCAGAGTTGGAATACAGTACACGCGCAGATGCACGAGAAGAGGGTCGAGATTTCTGTTACAGCATCACCATCTCTTCAATAAGAGACATGAAGCCAACTTGCTGTCCCCAAAGTCTTCCTTCAGTACTTTTATGAGCAGGCAATTTCGCCATAGGCTAGCGGCTAGCGGCGGCTGAGGACTCGGCTGAGAGACTTGCAGCCGAGGCTGTGACCTGAAGATCTTATGATAGGTGCGTCAAGAACCCCAACATGAGCAAAGCAGTGAGGAAGTGATCGCTGAGCTTTTCACCAGAGTACCTCGTGGGTCAAACCCTGGAACGATCGGCAGCGGGCCACCTGGCCACTCCTGCCAACCGCTGCCGAGTTCAAAGCACTGGCCATGCAACTGTCAAACAACAAGATCCTCCGATTTGGTGCATCTCGCGCAGCTCAAGCTTGGGGGCTTGGCTGAAAAAAAGGTTTGCTTGCAAAAGACCAACCAAGCTCAAAAGTTTTTTTTTGAGTTGCAGAAAGGTTGGAGAACTCATTGGCGTGTAGCTTAGCCATGAAGGCGCCTCATAAAATGCCACTTAACCTGAGCACCACTCCCAAATGCCACGCTGCCCTTTTTTCATTCGTCACAGCTCTTGTTTTGCGGCCGGCGTCACACCAGGTTTCTTCATGTGACGCACCTTAGCAGCTGAAGTTCGTGAACATTGCGCCAATGGACTCAATGATGCTGCATCTGCAGATGTTGCACAACGTCCAATTCTACACTGGCAGTATGCTGCACACACGGACAAGCAGCCGGATCATGGCATGACCACAACCAAAACCCAGAATGCCAACATCGCTGCATGCCTGTTGGCTGAGATTCGCCCAAGCTGCCCTCTGTATGAACAAGTTGTCTTCTGCCAACTCCTGCCTGGAGGCCCAGCCTACCTGAACAGGTACAGCAAGCAGATCGGCTTAGTCAGCTGTCACAAATGATTTTTCGGCGCCTTCCGACTTGGCAAGCAAGCTCATGCCACATTCGGGCTGCAGGTTGAAGCTGTTTGTGGCTACTGCCGCCTGGAGTGCCGCGTACTTCTCCCTCAACTGTGAAAGCCTCAGACTCTCAACTTTGAAGCTTTGTTTCTTTCAGCGGAGAATCACGTCCAAGTCTCGTGCAAATGCACGCAGGTCATAGCACTTGAATCGCACAGGTTGTCTATCAGCAAACAATGCAAGTGGCGAGCTGTTGCTTAACTTGGCAAGTCCTGACCAATTTATGAAACCACGTGCCCCAACTGCAAATTATCTTGGTGGGGCCATGTTGCTCTGAACATCCAGCACCAAGCTCTGCATGCTACAAACCTGAACAAGCTTGAACACAGCAATGAGTCTCAAACCTTTTTTCACCAAGAATCAGGGATGGCAGCTGCACAAAAGATGCGTTCGCACGTGCGGACTCGAACTCCTCCTGCTCAAATGGTGGAATTGAGCCAAGGTCCACGGCAAAAATGCCATAGCACCATGAACCATGAGTGTCATTCAGCATACTACAGTACATACAGCGTTCCCTGGACATCAACTCTCGGACTCCAGTTGACCTTCTAATGCCTCTGCAGCACATGGGCTTGGGGTCTCCACATGTCCAAATACCAAGCGTGCCTGCAACTTCGTCATGCTCACCCGAAGTTCCTTGGCTTTTGCCCATGTCTCAGCATGTTGACAGGATCCTTGCAGCATCTCACGGTTTATACAAGTCAGGAATGCTGCAATGCTGAGTTGACTTGTGTTATCGCGATCCTTTTGCAGAGGGCGCCCTGGGTTTGCTTCTAATGCGTTATAGTAATCCCTGCAAGTCCAGCGCAGCGGCCTTGTCCAACACATGCACAGAAAATCGGCCCCCACTGAATGCTGACTTGACCGACCCCCCTTGCTGGGTCAGTGATGTTCATATTGTTACAAGGCTCGCTGATGAGGTCTTGCTGTCTGGCTTTGTTCTCCTCAAGCTGCGATTTCAGATCCTGGCGGCTTGCACGCCAAGCGCTTGGACGGCATCATGCCCGTGTGAAGCTCAGAGCGTGGGATCAAGCACTGCCAGGCCTCCAAGCTTGATCCAGACAGTACTTCCAGCTGCTTCTGCAAACGTTCAGAGCATAGATCAGGCCGCTCCGGGGAGCAAGTTTCGCTCAGCGCCTGGACAGCTCACAGTTTGTATGCAGCGCGGGCTCCAAAACTACACCATTCATGACTCATGCTAGCTGAACCAGCCTCTGCAAAGCTGGATAATTCAGACAGCGGTTTGTCGTACTGCTGCAAACCATAGGGACTGCCATACCTCTCAGGGCTGACGACGCAGGGCTTGAGCTGTAGTACTTGTCGTTCCCACCACAGTGCAGGTTTTGAATACAGGGTGCATGATGGCTGGGAACTCAGTCACATTGAACAAACTGCAGATGTCCCGCGCCAACCGGCAATTGACGTCTGTGACCATCAGGCGTGAGTGACCTGCCACAAGGCAAGACCCAAACTGCTGACTCGCAACAAAATGTCACAAACATGCGCTCCGTGCTATCCGCAGGTGACCTGTGAACTTTTGAACGAGGGCAGACCATTCACTAGGGCTATCATCAGCGCATTGGCATACAGACCTGGAAGCACAGAATCCAACTGCAAAGCCTGCAAGCTCTAAAGGTTGGCCAATATTCTTCGAAAACTCAGCTCTAGCAGCCGAGGCACCCAAATCTTGCCAAGATTACTTTGCCAGCAGTCTGGGCTTGCCAAGTCTCCTGATCTGTTTGTGAAAGTCATGCTCGACTCTGTTTGGCTTGCAGAATTCGAGATGACTGTAGCAACTGTAGTGCCACCACGACCTCCCAAAGCTGACCAAACCTTGAAGGTGGTCACCTTGTCACGTCATGAACTTGAAGCAAGCAACGTCCGTGAGCTCTGAGCAATGAGATGTCGAGAGCATCTGCAAGAACGCTGCCAGCGCGAGTGTTCTCATGCCGGCAATGGTTTGCAGAGGAAAGCGCTGTCTGGATGCAGCCGTTCTGAAATCATATTGAAGAGCGAGAATCCACTTCATGCTGCCGCAGAAATCATGCATTTCATGTTCAGTGTGCTTTCAGCACTATGCCGGTCCTTCATGTGGTTTAGCCATCCTTCCGTCATGATGATCTGCTCATGTGGGCTTTGCTATAGCTTGAGCCATCAAATGCACATTACACTAATGTACAGCATATGTTCATGCATCGCCGCATGCCGAGCAAGCGCATAGAATCGCACCCCGTGCTGTTTGAGATGTCATTGAGGAACTCGAGATCAGCAATCGAATCGGTTCAGCATGGCCAAACATGCTTGCCATGACCTTTAGTCGATTGCGTGATGTGATGCCATCGCTGCGCAGTGTTCTTGGCCTTGTGATCTTCTTGTTTTTTCCGTGCTTTTTCTGGTCGCAAGCCTCCCGGAGCCAATTAAAACGAGCCCTACAACAAAGGGCCGCCCACGCCCTTCACAAAGACCCCTGGCACCCTCCGGGCATACACCACAGACACGCTGACAATGGTTCTTGAGCAAATGCCGTTCCTCAGTTGCTTCCGGGGCAGCAGGCGAAGACCGAAAGAGGTCTTAGCATGTGGAGTCCGCAACAGGCACACCAGCTGCAATGGTGCATGTGCTCTTCATTCCCATCATGTGTTATCCTGTATGACAGGATGCCGTATCGCTGTAGGCCACGCCGAAAGGTATGGCAAACCATCCCTTGCTGCACGAGGCGTTAATTACCGCACTGCACCCATGTTGGAGCAACGGCACGTCAGTGTCGGTGGTGGCCGCGGGTCATGCAAGTCTTACATGTGTGGAAACTTTGGCATCCAGGAACTAGCTCCTCAAGGTTCGTGTTGGTAACGCTCTGCCGATCCGCAGACCAATCCTTGCGGGGCATGGGATGCTTACTCATCTATTTGCATCGCTGGAAGGCGTGGCTTCAGAGGTTGCTTCTGCTTCGAGAAGCGGCGCTGCTAAGAAGCTGGTACATGGCTAGTCCAAGCATGGAATCTTTATGCTCTGCTCATTTTCGGCAAGGCTGACCTGCCTCCCTCACTGTGGTCACCATTAGCCATCCGCTGCCAGATGCAGCTGACCTCGGGCTTTGCGTGGCAGCGAATTCAAACTCACCTTCAACGTCGCAGATCAGGCATGCGCAGGTCAGCCACAACCTCTCAAACTTGCTCGGTTGCCGACTGGACCTGCACCCTGAGCTGAATCCTAGGGCAAGGCTTTCAAGGCGGCCCGAGCTTCGGACAGCCCACGCTGCTTTTTGTTTGCGCATATCTTCCAACCAAGAAGCGACAAAGGCTGCTCTGCAGGCAGCGCCACCAAGGACCTGAAATCTTGGTACCGAAAATCTCTCTAGAGCTCACAACATCAAAGTGGAACTCAATCAACCAATACCTTTTCCTGCAGCTGATTTCCTGCACCTCGAGGCCCGCGCTCGTTTACTTCATTGGATGCCTCGTTCCAGGAACTGTAACAAACAAGTGGAGGCCAGCAGCTCAGGGCGGCCTGGAAAATCACATCCAAGCGCTGAGTGTAGCTAGGAGCTGGCAGGCTAAGCCTCAATGCTGTATCAGCTGTGCTCATGGAAGCATGCTGTTGGTTGAGGATGCTTGCTGACCTATTCATCGACCACGTTTGCTTTGAGGTCAGCTTTTCAATTTCAGTTGAAAGGCCATATCGAGCACTCTGAGGCTTGCACCTCTGGCTGTTCTGAAAGACATCATCTGCACCTAGTGACAGGGCGGCAGCAAGAGCATCAAACGAAGATGGTTGAGACAGTGGTCGCCCTGCTGCCATCGCACCTCCGATTGCTCTGAGGATGCTGGATGTCTGCACCTCGCGCATCGAACATGATGACTCGCTGAATGTAGGCTCGATTAAGGTCCTGAAGAGCATCAATCGCTAATCTGACACCTCTTCATTAGCTAGCTCCGAAGGCATGTTCTGGGGATTGAACACCCGCTGCCGCCAGCCCGAGCACCTTTGCGGGAAGCTTACAGCAACCGCTGCTGCTTGCCAAGGCCCAAAACATCGCTCTAGTTATCACAAAACCCTTTGGTATCGGCTACACCCCAAGCAACCTCTTCTACTTCGGCCGCAAGGTTTTCCACGACCTCTGGGCATCAAGCCACGTCTGCAGCCAGAGCAATGCCAGCTGCAGGGTATACGATCAAGCGCGCCCCCTTCAGCACGGGGACCTGGCTTCTTCCATCACGCTGGCCTAAAAGGCAAGTGTAAGTAACGTAACCTGCACACATACCTGACCTCACAACAACTTCATGATTCTGTAGCTTGCCTACGTGCGCCCCGTTGGGTCTCTACTTTCTCCGAGCTTGTCCCCTAGACTTGTGATGGCACTCTCAGCTTGATTTGATTGCAGCTAATATAGCTATGACGAGCAAGAGCCACTGTCGGCAAAACATACCTTGCATGCATCCTCTGATCTTACCGTATGTGCACATCATGTTTGCATTGTGTTCATGACCTTGGGAAGTCCAAGGCTTCCTCCCACAACCTCAAGCAACTTTGCAAGGGACGGCCTGCAAAGCCATGCCCAGCGTCAAATAATGAACACGATCTGCCTCAGATTGTGGATATAGCTCACGAATACGTCTTGCTAGTCATATGCGGCAAAAAAATGGCAAAGGCGACTTGAAAATACTCCTGCCCCCCTGCTCTCCTGCAGAAGTGCTGTTTTAGCCAGGCAGCGGCTACAAAAAAGCTAGTGCCAAACTCCGCGCTGGCAGACCTCAGGCTTCAGCACTCGATCTGGAATAATCTGTGAATGTCTGAGCTGGCGAGCAAATCCCCAATCTCAAGTCTGCCCTGCATGCGGATCTGACCCACCCAGCAAACGACTCTTGCCTGTGCTTCCCGGCAATGATACAAACGACCCGGAGCCGGGAGCTTGCAGCACCACTTGACCAGCTAGATAGAGCCGTTCATCTCCTCCAACTCACATGCAGCACGCTCGCCATCAAAGCTCAGCTTCAGAGATGCATGTTGCCATGAGCAGCCATGCCGTGCCCCTGTGAGCAATCAATCCGAGCTGGTCATGTCCATGTCCTTGATCCTCCAGAGAGCTTCTATCCAGCAGGAAGGCCTGTCTGCAGTGTGGCATTCTGCAATGACGGGCTATGATTGTTCAGCGTTGGAGTGTGGCGCAAAGCATGCCTGCGCGAAGTCTGATGCATCTGCGCTGCTGCTGGCGGTGCTTGTGGCCACCTTTGCAAACAGTCAGCAGATCGCGTCGAGCAAAGGTGTTTCAAAATGTTTCAAGTTCTGGGCTTGCTTGGTGAATCATGGCTGTCATTTTTAAAAAGCAAATGCTTCTTTCAATGCTGGCCTAAAACAAATACCGTTATGAACATTCAGCTCTTTGCACATCATCCAGCCGCAAGCCAGATGGGGAACGCACCGCAGCACGTACCGGCCCGGCCAGGAAGCCCATCCGAACCTACCAACCAGCTCATCACAGGTTATCAGCATCCTACTGGTGAACAAGCTCAACGAACTTCAAACAGTTAAGGCCACTTGCGCACCACAGCCCTGATGCTCGATGTGTCCAACAAAACCAGACGCCAAGAATCAACTGCCTCCAGCATCTCAAAGGCAGCCGAATAAACCAATCCAGAGCAAGCCAAGGAGCTTGGTCAAGCTTCAGCGTGTAGCGCTGAACTGGCTGGAAGGTTGTAGCAAACTCCACCCGGAGTTGGGCTTTCCTGGTCGTGGATGCAGCAGCAAGTTTGCGGCTATATTGCCAGATTTGAGGAGACCATTTTTGGGAGATACTGTTTTTTGCAGATCTTCATGCTGGCCAGGGGTTATGTGAGAGAATGCGACGTGACAGTGATCCCCTGTCGGCCCGGCTGGCTGACCATGTTGCCGCCAACCTCGGTCGCCACCTGCCTCAGGCTCGGAACATGTGCATATCGGAATGTAGAGGGTGTGCGTGGCCACACTCCGCACAAGTATGCGTAAACCTCCATGCGTCTCCCTTATCTGAAGGCATGCGCGTCTGGCCCCTCGCCACACAGCGGCGCTGCGCTCAACAAGGCGTGGAAGCTCTGCAGCTCGACCTGCATTGCACTGAGCCAAGCGCCCACCAGGATGGCAAGAGATTTGACCAAAGAGCCTCAGGCACCAAGTCTGCAGTCATATAGTGTTGTGTTGCACTTGTTTTCGTACCAGCCATGCCGCACAGCTCCAAGGCAACCATAGGCAACCTGTTTTCCTCGTGCGTGTCGGGTTTTCGGTCCCAGAGCACCACTCATTCTTCTTGCAGCCAGGTGAACTCTAAACAACACCTGGTGCAGTTGCAGTGATGGCCGCGAATGTCTTGGCAGCAAGTCTATCCTGCGTGACTGATGTACGCAGGCAGTAGCTTTCCCAGAGTTTGCAAAGCCGCCGCCGAAAACATCTGACGGAGGACATGCCCCCACCTTGCATGTCGTTTTGCATTTGATGGGCTCTTATTCTTACCAATCTAAGTCAATCCAGCTCAGGAAAGCTGCCTATGCCTGGCTCACACACAGGGGACCTGAGCTCGAAATACCTGCCGCACCCCTTGATGACGGCAAAAGGAGACTTCGTTTAGGGCCAGCCGTACAGCTCTGGTGCATTGCTCAGCCCAGGGGGCAGGCATGCAACAGAAAGGGCATTAACACAAGTCCGATTAAACACAGGAAGAAACTGCCACAGGGCAGAACGATTCTGGACAAGACGCGCGGCACCCCTTGGAGCCAACCGCGTCAACATAAAAGACACCATGTGCAGAGCACAGTGTCACAAAACTGTGGCCTGCGCCCACAGCCCTTGCTTCAGACGTCTTTGGCGCTCAAACAGAAATCAACACATTCCCTGCCAGACTGTGCAGGAGCTCCATGCGCAGCTGCTCTACGGCTTCAAATAACGGGTCAGGTTCATCCGCCGCTCGTGTGACCAAGCCAATAAGGTTTGAGAGCTTCATCTTGGTGAGGAATCGGTCAAGGTTTGCAAGCTCGCCCGGCGTGGACCATGCAACTTCCTCACAGGTGGCTTCCAATAGGGTGAACATTACAGTGTGCGTCACAACTGCGCTTGAAGGGCTCATCTGTGTCCTTCAGAGGTGCTACATCCTGGCAACCTTCCTGCAACAGCTCCAGGACATCAGTGCCGATGTCCATGAGCCCCGCCTTCTCCTGTTGCATGCCCAAATTGCAGAACATCTCGTGACAACTAATTACAACAAAAGAATTGGCATACATCATGAATGTTTAGTCTGCTCTGCTTGTCTCAAAGCCTCCTGCGTAGACCTTATACTGCGTACAGCCATGTTAGCCCGCCCAGGATAATCAACCCTTGTTTGGCATCCGAATCTGGTGTCCGCACGAAGTGCCAAAAGGTAAAACAACCCAAGCGCCGTACCCCTACCCCCATCAGGCATTTTGACCAAGAACGGCACCAGTTTGGCTTGGCAATGGGGCAACACGATGGCGCAAAGCTGTGAACGCGGCAAGCTCTGGAGAAGAGCCCGCAGCCGCCGCCCTGGCTTACTTGCTCCTGGGGACCAACGTAGGCATGGAAGTGTGCCAAGTTACGCTTGGCTCGATTAATTAGTCTAGGAGGCATGACCTACTATTGGCTCCTGCTAGGAAGCATGTACGGATGCAAGAAGGCTGCAACTTGCGGGCACTAAACAATGGAAAAAGAACGGAGATCCCCAAATTATGCTGAGGCCTGTCTTCGCTACGGCTGCGATGTCTGCACTGTCTCAATCAAAGTAAGATCTGCTTGAGGCCTTGCTTCTAAGTTACTGCACGTACAGTGGACTCCCAGCCATCGGTCGGCACTGAAGTCCTTGGTGCGGCATGTGGCAGTAGGCACAGGCGCCGCCCTCCTTGCACTGCCTGAGATTCAGGTAAGGTCAAAGCAAGGACCCAAAAGTGCTCAAAACCCTGGGATTTGGATAAGGTGCCCGGTGAGGAAGTTGATGCATGCACGGCGACACACCTGGGAAAGAATGTGCAAAACTTCAAAATCTCTGGCAATTCCAGAGCTCTCGGCCTCAGGATGCCCAAGGCTGCCGTAGCTGGCGAGAGCCCACATGATAGCTTCCGCCTTGCTGAACGTCAGAGCCGTGAAAAAACGAATACTCAAGGAGTAGCAGGTCCTGATGCTTTCCCGACTCGGGGGCATGCTGCTTCTTACTGCAATCAAATTCCGGAGCAGAATCATGTTTGACTCATGGTTTCATGCAACGGGTTTTAGCAATCTGCTGCCGCATGCCTGGTTGCGGGAGCCTTCGTCAGAGGTGCTCCAGTCTGACTCTGGTGCGCTGAGGGCACTCTCCATTCTTGCGAACACCATGATGGCTCAGAGCGGTATGGGATGGGAGTGCGCGAGTCTCCTTGAACCAGCAGCTGGGGTGCATGAAGAAGCAGAGAAGAGGCTCCAGCCAAATGTGGGGCTCTATGAACTTCTCACTTTGTTGTCAGCTTTACTGCCCCCAGCAGTGCACCCCAAGGCTTGGGTTGAGGCCCTTCCGAAGCAACAGCTGCCTGTCCTGGCAGCGAGCTCTATGCTGGCTGAACGCATTGAGCACAGTAGGTCGCAACCTCCGTCTGTCGTCATGGTGCACTGAACACTGCTGAAGTCCATGGGATTTCCGCCAGTCAGCGTGTCAATCCAGACCTGCTTGAAAGAGAGCAAGTGCAGCTCAGCATTCCTGTACCCTTTCCATTCGGTTTGTGCCTGGTCAGCACCAGTGGTTGCCACTTGGAAGGACACCTGCTTTCAAGGACGCAGCTTCAAGCTGCTGCCAGCTACCAGTTCACAACACGTCACTTGTCTCTGTATGCTGCACTTCTATAGCATCCTTGGACTACAGTATGGTTTGGATACTGACTTTTGGCACCTCCAGAGTCGTAGGAAAGTAACCTGCCACCGCAAACTGCGGCAGGCTTTGTTGCATGCCTTGGGCAGAAAGACACCGTCAATGACAAGCTTAGCCAGCGATCAACTTTGAATGAACTGCAGAAGCCGAACGCATTTCATGTTCTTGATCTCTGGAGTAAGCCCCCTTGAAAGCTTTTTGGTGCCAGTGCACTCGCGTTCCTCCTTCAATGCTCTTAGAAGTAAACAGGCCTGGCCTGGCATTTTGGTTCACAAAGTGACACACGCTTGCTCTAGAGCGGCGTTCAAAACTGCGAGCTCCCAGCGCAGGAACGGCATAGCAAGCTGAACTGCATGGGCCTCGCTGAACTCTTGAGAAAAGGCCTTGCCTAATGGCTGAACATGGCAAGATCTCAAGCCTCTGCATAAACCTGAAAGCATCTCGTGAAGTCGGCTAAGCAGTCAGCAAGTTCAGTCCAAGCGATCAGAAGACGAGTTCCACAGATAGAAATGTAGCGGCAAGTTCCCTCTGGCTGCGTATACTTGTAGTTGTGCCTCTGATCCCGAAGCCGCTATCACCTTGGCGCTGCTTGTTACGCAGGGGCTTACATGCTTTGCATATTCACATAAAAGCTGATCTGTCCCGAGCTCACAGCTGAAAGCAGCGTCTCGCCCGTGACCGCGGACGTGACAGGACGCAAATGGGACCTTGTAGCAAACGTATGTGACAACTAAGAATCATAGTCACGGCCATCAGGCCGATGCACCCAAAGGGGACTTGTCAGTGTTGTGCTAAGATGCAATTGTTAACCAAAGATCGAGCCCGGTGCTACCTCAAATCCAGTACCTTCAGAACTCAAGCTCAGTACCCAGCAGCTGCACCAACCTCAGTGGTGACAATTCGTGCTACTTTGCCCTGGCATTCTTTCAAATATCATGCATTGGCATGGGTTGCGGCCGATCAAGTAGAAAGCCCTCCCTTCGCAAACACTGCTGCGAGAATATATGCCGTGGGGCACTCGTTGTGATACTCTGCAGGTCAATGGAGCAAGCAAGACTTGCAGCCACGGCACGTCATGAGCCCTCGCGGAGCAACAGCCACAGCCTCTGCGCTCGGATTTCTTGCCGTGAGGCGGAAGTCCAAACGAGAGCCCTGGCCGCAGCAAAGTCTTGGGATTCAACCCATTGCGTATGACCCCACGCATTGCTGTTAGCAGTGGTGTGATATGGCAAATGAGCGCAGCGCGGCTTGTTTCTCTTCTTGCCAGTGAGTCCAGCACGGCAATGGCTGGTAGACTGTAGACTGCATTCTAATTCATGAGGCTGCGCCTACCCTGCTTGACAGAACAGAGTTGCTCTGTACGAAGCAGCAAAAGAATAAGAAGCAGCATGGAAATGTAATTAAGCCTTTGTACAAACTCGTCCTCAGCTACATGGAGAAGCCCAAGGTAGTCATCCTTGCAATCGGCAGAGGTCAGAATAAGTCAGGATTTAGCGCGGCATCACATCATCCAACGGTGCTAGACACCTGAAAGAAATTCGATCAGCTTGAATTGCAGCGAGGATGCAGAAGCCACACCACAGAGAACATCATGAAAGAGCGGCTGCCAGTCTTGGCCACCACTGCGTTGCTCGCGGCATTGGCGCCGGTCAAGAATGCTGAGTATCCTTCTGGAAACCGCTTCAGAAGATCTAGCTGGAATGGCTATGCAAGCTTTGATAACTTCTCCACAGGATTGCAGCACCACAACCTATCCAGCATTCCCGAGTGCTCTCCAAGCCAAGTTTCGATCCACACAGGTCAGCTCTTCAACCCTCTGTCCACCATGCTTTCCCCAGCATTGGACAAAGAGCATGCTGTGCTTGTCAACCTCCTATGCATGCAAATGCACAATTTTGAAGGCAGCAGGTGTGCAGTACAGTACCTACGAGCCAGTGCAGCAACGCCACATCGCAGCAGCACTGTTGGTGAATACTACATGCAAGCTGCGAGAAAGCACGGGCCCGGTCCAGCATCAGGGATCGTGCCGATCCGACCAACCAAAGGTTTGCGGCAAAGAATGCAGGCCGAGCCTCGGAAACTGACCCTCTCCAATGTAGGAGAAGTTACACATGGTCTCCGACAGCAAGAATTGAAATGCCTGAAGCAAGGGGCTGAGACGGTTACGAAGGCTGCCAGGCAGTAAGGCAGAAAGGGATCCGGTTCTCCCTTTTGCAGGCAAGTCTCTATGCAGTTTTTCGCTGCCAAGTGTGCCGACACTGGCAACAAGGCCAACGCACCAACAACCTGAAGTGTAATCACCTGGGATGGAGGACCAACCCGCACACTGTGTGTTGATAGACGGGGGCAACTTCGTAAGCTTCCAGTTGCCATTGTGTCTAAACTTGAGCCAAGCCAAGCGGCAGAGAAATGTCGGCAGCTTTGTGCTGGAAGTTCCGCGGCGCTCCTCAGGATGACCTGAAGCAGAACAGCACAAAATGTTCGACCATGCAATAAATACCCTGCATAGATTTGAAGCCATACACCACTCATGTTCAGGATAATGCTTCGTCTCAAAAATAAAACTCAATGCACTTCGTTGGACATTGGATGGCATGTTGCCCTTTGTAGTAAGAAATTCCGATCCTCTACCCCACGGTAGTGGAGGCATGCCGGCTCCCAGCTCTAGGCGTGTTTGGCCACTGATGGCATCACAGCTATAGGTCAACATTGAAACCTGGTCTGTGTTGGGCTTACTGCGTCTGTCTGGCACACAGGCATAAGGCAACTTGCCTGAAGACTAGAACCGATAACACCTAGACTCTCACCATGTCGGTAACAACTGAAATTCTCATCTGCCAGGGCGCTGTTTCAGCCATTAGAAAACCAAGGCAGCCGGACAGCCCGCAGAATCCAAGCAATGATTTTGTTGCCTGGTGTTCTGGTCTTGTATGTCATGTCAACTTGCAATCAAGGGTGAAGCTTCAACAAGTAAGCCATACACTAGGCCACCAGGAATGATGCTCAGAGCTCCCAAGGATGGCGAGAACGTGGAGCCTCAGTCATGACATGACAGGCTCGACATGGCAATGCAAATCAGACGATCAAGAACACTGCTGAGCTTGCAGAAATTCTGGGCGGCCAATGCGAATTCAAACAGTTATCCGAACCAGTAATTATGCTAGAAGAGATGCAGCAAAATTGATACATGCGCGTCCTTCTGTGCTTCAAAATACCTGAACTACACATCCGCTACTAGCTAAAGGCTTAGCTTCCAGAAATCTGATGCGCTTTGCCCTTGCCACGGTTTTTGTTTTCCAAAAATGCGTTCTAGGTGCAAAGTCCCAAGGACAACGATGCGCCCAGGCCAAGCAGCAATGCCTGTTGCTGGGATGGGTTATATAGGGACTATTTGGGGATTATATAGGGAATATATTGGGGTAATATAGGGGCAATGGAAAAGAAAATGGAAACTATATGGATTACAGGGATTATTTGGGGGTTATATGGGGTATTATAGGGATTGTGCGATTATATTGGGGTTACATAGGCAAAATGGAAAAGAAAAAGGAAGCTACTAACGGGCGTCCTGATTGCTTGGTGACTGTGTGATGATACATTGAGCACGACAAACGAGGCCTGTCATGCACACTTTGCAAATGAATGCACCTACATGGTGACGTTTCCTGATGAGTTTGATATTTAGCTTTTTCTTTCTAGCTTTCCACATTGCACAGTGGTGCAGTGCTACACCACCAAGGGCAATGTTAATCGTACACACGGCAGCCAGGTCTTCCTTGGCATTCTGGCATTGTCTTTTCACCACAATCAGCGTTGACGGTATCCAGGGAGCCAATGTAACATTACCAGCTCGAAACTCATCGATGTCATTATTCTTTAGACCCTGCTGCCTGCCAGCCCTCATACAAGTCCATCAGTTGCAGCATCACCTCTGCCACAGGACAGGTCCAAATTGCAGCAAACTGTGCCAGCAAATGCAGCAGTTCAGGTTCAGCCGTTCAACTGCTTACAATAAAGGTGGACACGCTCTCGCGATTGTAAGGTAAACACCTTGAGCACTGGCAGCGCGCCAGAGCGGATCTGTGAAACTGCTTGAAGCTTGAAAGCTTTGTGCCGCCCCGATTAAGGCTGTCTTGGCCGACCACCCTCCATGGCGCGGAAGCAACTAACGCAATCTCATTATGAGCTGTATGAGTGACAGTTTCCGCTTCCGCTGGGCTGCCTGAAGCCGTGGATTGAGTCCTGCTGAATCGTCTTGGGTGAGAAGACTTGCGGAAGCCTCTGCTGCATGTTGCAGCGTATTGCAGAGCTACTACCGGCCTTCAAAGCTAAAGCTGAGGAGGCACCACACGTTTGAAGGGATCCGACGTAAGCAGGCAAAACGCATGCATCGGTGAGCGTTGATGGACGTTAACGGCCAACCGCTACACTAAATCAATCTCTTCAAGTATTGCATCACATTCCAGCAGAGGCATTCAGCAGCTGCCGCCTGGGCCAGGGCCTCTGCAGGACCGGTGATGCTGAACTGCAGTGTTGACGGCCTCAGGGCGTCAAATGCTTACAGAACCTACTACTGTGAGCTTTCTTGCGCTTTCTGCTGTAAGCCACTCGCCCTGAGAGGGTACATGCTGTCAGGACATAGTCCACGCCAGATGGCCTTGAGTGAGAACTTCGCTACGAACTTTTCTGTCACATCATGCAAAGCTGCTCTTCTCGGCAGCTGACGTTATCAAGGAGGAACAAACAGCGGCAGACACCTCCAGCCTTGGCTTCGGGATGGAAAGAGGGAGAGGAAAGAGAAGGACGATGTGCCAAGAGGCACGTCCATTGTCCACTATCTGCTCTGTTCATGCTGGGGCAAGGGCCATGATGGCAGCTGCACCTGAATGACCTCAGACATATCTGTGGTTGCTCTACCACTTGCTCGAGCTGTGGCTTGCTTCTCTCTTCCGCAGGCTTCCATAGTGTCTCGTCCAAGCTGCGCCATGCTCCAACTCTGTTAGCATGACTTTCGAGCCGTCTTGGTTCCGCACATCGCTGGCGGGGATGACAGGCTCGCTGGGGGCCCAAATGAAAGACCTCAAGAAAAAGTATGCTAAAGCTACAGGGATGAAACTTAGAGAAATCGCATCCTCGCCCGGCTCTGCTCGCATAGGCCAAAAGTTTCAAAGAGCGCTTTAGTTATTATAGCATCAAATGAGCACGCAAGCGCACGGATGAGCCTAGTATGCTTCAGATATCCTCAGAACTGAGTAACCGAGGCCTGTGCAGCACAACCTGCTCGCCCGCCTGGCTGCTCACATCCGCAGTCATTCCGAGATTCTTTTCGTTTGTCTTTCTTGCGCTTTGACAGTGCTGGGGACAGAAGTTTACCCCCAAAAGCCCTCAAATCCCTCAAAGATTTGCCACGGTCGGTCAGCACCCATGCATTGTCATGCATTCCCAAGAGCCATAACCCGCACAACTTGCAAGCCGGCAGCCTTGTGTTTTTCTGCCTCAGGCAGGACTTGAAGCTCCAGACCTTCAGCGATCCAGAAATCTGAGTGGTTTAGGCAGCAGTAGGGCTGGCATGCCATCGGCCCTCACGGAGCGTGGTGGCTCCAGCTTGCTTTCAAGTTGTTCATTATCGCCCACCGGCATACATTGGCGTGGACAATGGGGCCAATACAAAGCGCCAAAGCGTCTGGGACCAATCAAAACTGTCGGAGGCAGGCACGAATCACAGCAGTCACCGAGTGGTGTTGTCACTGATCAATGTGTGCGTGATCACAACTGCTTTCCCTGGATTGGGAGAAGTCATGGTGGCTCAGCAATCCGTCCAGGGCTCAAACGATCCAGTGCCGACAGCAAAGCGAAGCCATCGGCACTCCCATCTTCCAGAAGGGCCTGCTGCGCACAGGGATTCGGATAGCAAAGCAGGAACAAACCAGGCGAGCGTGAGGTCAAGTGCTCATTCTGAGTGTGGAGGTGCTGCTGACTGACCTCAGCTAAAAACTTGAAAAGCATCCCCTGCTCCAGGGGTGTGGGATGCTCTGCTGTTGCTCTGGTGTGGCTCGACTTAGTCTTGTTTTGCTGCCTATCACTGTACTGTAACAAAGCACACGAAAAACTTCGAAAATTCTGATAGCAAGCAAAGCAACACGAGTGACAACTTGTGGGTTTGGGGGACTCAGCCCTGTCTGCCGACCAGAAGGCAATGCAGCGCACTGGAATCACACCTTTACAACAAAACTCTAACACAACACAAACTCCCTGCACAGTCCCGAGGCTGTCCAACCTAAGACCTATGATAGCTCAGGCGCCCGCGAAAAAGGGGTGGTTTGGTTGCAGTGCAGCACGAAAGCTCCAGAACGGACAAAGGAAAGTTCACAGCAATGCTGGGTTGTCAAAATACAAGTTTCACTCGAGCGTTCACATCGGCATAATTCTGTGCATGAGGCAACTCGCAGTAAACACATGATGTGGCGTCAGGTATGCTATGAAGGTGGTCCCGGTCCCATTTTGGGATGTGGAGGCAAGTAGAATGGCACCGTCAGGTCAAAACATCCAACACTCGGTAGACAAGCCTCAGCGACCAGCAGCGTCTGCGAGAAGCTCTGCAACGTCCATACGCTTTGTTCGGGCGTCTGGGCAAAACCGCAATGCACAAGTCAGACCGCTGATTGATGTTTGCCCAAGTCGCCTAAAACACCAAAACACATCTGCAATTTTTATTGGCGGCCTCATGGGTTTCAACATGTCAGCATTTGGACCTTGTGCCAACTCTCCATCTGAAGCTGCATGAAAATACCACTTCGCCGACAGGCAAGGTCAGTGCAGGATATCAGCAACTATTCCCCAGCCATCAATTGCCTGCAAAGGGTTTCGCACCGCAATTGTGGCCTCAACAGCTCTCTGACCCCATCTCACACTGCAAAACACTGTACACAACTGTTAACTGTACATGGACACCCTAACCTCTTGCCTCCCAACCGGCATGCATACGACATACCGCATGCAACATGGTCTTGAGACTTGTTTGGCAAATCAGCACTCCGTGCTGGCCTGCCACCGCAGCATCATGCTAGGAAGCCAACCCAACTTGCACAACACATCCTACATCCTCTTCCATCTTGGGAGGCCCTGGCAACGTACAGCTTCTCCACCGCGAGCGCTGGAGCGCCAACTGTAAGCCCGAAGACCTGAGGTCAACATCACCGCGCCTATGGATGTGGCAAAGCTATGCCATTGCTCTCCACAAGAACCAGAGAGACCAGCTTTGCACTCAGACTGACCCCGGACAATTCTGTGGCCCTTGCCGCCACTGTTCGCACCGCATCGGGATCGGCCGAGCCCTAATTCAATATCGGTTGCCCACACTTGCATGCTGGGCATTGTCAACGCTGCTTGCGTGAACGCCATGCAAAAATATGCCATGTCATTACCAACTGATAGTTGGTCATCTTTACTTTACTTACTGCGGCAATCAACTATATATCAATCAAACCTCGAATTCGAAGAAGCTCTGTACACCCCAACCCTCAGCGTGCCTGACCAGGCAACTCTGCCGCCAGCTTCTGTTCCAAGCTGCAGTCCACGTCACTACGTTGAACTCCATCCTTCCCAGCGCAAATACTCGGACCGGCTCAGGTTTCCCCATGTCTCCGCAACCCCAATCAATTCTGCAAAGTCAATTGCTGCTACTCGCAGGCTTTGGCAGGGACAAGGGGCTGGAACATTTCTTGACATAGCACAATCCCATGGTTGTGGTATTCTTGCACCCACTGCCTCTGTGAGGAGAAAGCGATAGCAATTGCCTGTGGGAGCGACCCTGTAGACACCTTGCTGATGACTTTTGCTAGCCCAGAGCTTTGGACATGAGAGCACTCAGAATCTGCCTGCTTGCCAGAACTCCAAACATCGCCCTTTCAAAGCTGGGCTCTAGGCTGAACGAATCGTCGTTCTGAAGCTCCTGGCCGCACGCATCTTCTCGATCACCACATGCATATCTGACATGTGGGTGCAGAATCAGCCTGGCAAGGCGTCGAGCCATCTGCAGTGGATTCCTGAGCATCAAGATTACTTTCCCTCAACTGGCAATCTGGCTTCACTCTTTAAATCTGAAAACTTGCGGAGAAGATCGCTCAGCGTCATCTACGGGGTTTGAATCCCGACCCAGGCTACCCGCCTGGATGCACTCTCCGGACCTTGAAAGGCTGGACAGCAACACCAAGAAGCACTGAAAAGCAGCCTTTGCCGGGCGACGAACCTATCGCCAATGCCCACGCGAAAGTACTCGCAGGTGCTTCGCTGTGAACATGCAGCCTCACAAGCTCAAGTGGCTCAGTCCACCTTAACCGCAATTCAGTCGCTGCTGCTGCTGACAGCTTGAGGCATGCGAATGCCACCGTGTTGCAGGCTCCATACAGTCCGATAGAGCGGACGTCCCGACTAGGCCGCAGACTTCGCATTGGTTAAAGCTGTAGTCAACACCTGCGAGGCTCTTCAAGCATGATTGCAGGTCAGCTAAGCTCGGCAAGACAGCCAACTTTACCTCCCTCGTGGCACTCTCTTCTCAGCACATGGCAGCGAGCCGCGCCTAAGAAAACGGAGTCACCAATGCAAGTAGCGCTGGCCTGCCAAGTCTGCAGGCGCCAATGACGCCAATGTGTGGATAAGTCGAAGCAGCGCCACAAAGCCCAAAGAAAAACAACAAGGAATGTAGAGGTGCCATCTTTTCAACCAATGACCGCGCTCACTCCGCACCGTGGTTCCTGCACTGGCCTTCACCAGAACACCCCTCGACGTGCGTGGCACAGAGGCCATCAGCTCAAAGCCCTCAGGCGGTGTCAGCCTCTGAGACCAAAATGCACCCATGGGCTTCTTGAATCAGCGCTCTTTTCCATCTAGGGCCCTCGCTGCAGCGCTCCGCCAGAAGGCACAGGCACCGAGGGTTGAAAGCTTACCTGCGGTGGTGGCTTGAACAACACCTCCTCAGGGAGCTTCCAGGATGCAGGAGATGCAAGGAACAGCCAGGGGCTGTTGCAGCCTGGTATTAAAAAACATAACAACACTAAAAGTAACACTAGTAATGATACAATAATAACAATGCTAACAATAATGCCTGCAAAAGGTTCGGCGGTGCCCGCCCAATGCGCTGAGCTGCGCCAGCGAAGGAAGCTGAGATCGCCAGCCTTAAGCACCAGAAGACACGCCAAAAAGCATTGGGATGATTAATAGAGCAAGATGGAGACTATAGACTACAGACTATAGGAGCTCTAGTCTAAACTCCTAATATCCCCCTTAATACGCCCCAGAATGGTTACCCCTTGAAGGCGTTTTAACTATAGCTCATATGGTGACTATATACGGATGTACATAAAGCTCAAATTTCAGGCATTCGGATTAGACTCAGGAGCGAACTGCTGAAAGGCCTTTGCAAGCGAAGATCTGCAGTTCTAATTTTCAATGGACGTGCTCAAGCCACCGCTCTCTGTCTGCTGACACCTCAAACCAATTGCAAATGCTTGCCTGCATCGTAAAGCCAGGGATTGGAAGCGAAGCCTGCTGTCCAAACTGGAGTCGCCAAGCCTTGGTAGACTCGAAGTGCCAACAGTTAGCTCAGCACTGAAGCAAACATCTTGCAAAATTTGCAAACAAGAACGGAGCAAACATCTGTTTTTGTCATGTGTTGCAACACAATGTTACATCCAGGCACGTTGTTGGCTGGACTTCGGTCTGCGTTCTGCACCACCAATCCTTGTAGCAACATTCAGGACGCAGAACAAGGGTTCAAGTGGCTTGGCCAGCAAGTGGAAAAGGTCGCGGGGAGCTGATGGATGACAAGCTGCGGAAGGCATAATAGCGCGAGATCTCCACCAGGCCCTCAGACCTCAGAAGGGCGGTTCCGGCATTCAAACAGGCATCAAGAAAATTATCGTGATCCAAGTCCCAAACAAGGTGAGGAATGCAGCGTTGCCATCCGGAGATGTGGCACATGCAACTTGCGTCGATGCCGGAAACAGAGTGAACTGAGCAGGATCCTCGCGTCCAGGTTCATGCCAATAACGAAACCCACTGCTTTGCTGACACTGCTTCACATTGAGCCAGGTTGCCGGGGAGCCACCACGGCCAAAGGGGTCTGCTATGTTCACTGGGGGCCTCGGATTTTGAATCCCATCCAGATGCACTATTCGCCACGCCGAGTCTGTGGCATGCCCGTGCTCGCGTCTGCCGTGAGGCAGTTGTTGGAGTCGCTCCAGGGAAGCCTCCCGCAAGGCCAACGATTTGAGGCTCGGCTGCAAGCAATCCCACCAAGAAGACTGGCTTCCAGCTGAGGCGTATCTAACTATAAGCCCTTATCTGATCTTATCAATATGTGCCTTGTGCTAGAAGTTACTATAGCCCTTTAAACCCTTCTCGACTCAGGACTTATTCTGCAAGATGTTTCGCGAGCTTCTTTCTCACCTGCTGCCGTGGCTCTTGGCCAGGCTAGAGCGGCTTGACCGTGTTTAATCCACCCGCTCAGCCCGCACTAACAACAGGTGGTGCCCGGCCGTCTTAATTGCCATCGAAACTTCAGCTGGAAATGCGCACTGGTGCAAAATTGAACTCTTCAAGCTTTCTATCCTCATCTCGCATCAATGCACAGCCACAGCTGAGTTGCTAGCTTCTGTACGAGCTGCTCTGCGCACTTTGTGCGGCGAGACAGGGGACGAGCTGTCGGCAAAATCCAAAGCTTCAAACCAGATCTAGACAAGAGAGCCCTTGTGGAATACCTTTTGCTGCGGCGTTTTTTGCTACAGTACAAGTGTGGGGCTTCGACGGACGGTAACCCATTTTGCCACAAGCTCGGGATTTTGCCGTAGCTCATGCGCTAAGATAGCGTCTATATAGCTGTAGCTATCAGGAAATAATTCGTCAGGCGTGCACAGGCAGGAAATATACGAGCGTGCCGGAAAGCTTCAAGACCCCGAGCGCGAACATCGTATTATGCTCCCATTCCTGCTTCAACCACTTCTTGACCAGCATCTGCGACTTCAGTCGCGGCCTCGCCGGCCGACTCTGTAAAACACTTGAGTTCCCACTTCTCCAGGCTCGACACCTCATTCATGATATGACTTCTGCTGCATTGAAGATGAATGAAAACTAAATTTCTCTGGCCACGCTCTGCGGCAAGCATTCCAAGCATTCTAGGATTCTAGCACACCAAGCTACACGAGATTTTTGCTGGCAAGCAGCCACGATTGCTAGCACAATCATCAGAAGACCATTGGCTCCTGCTGTTGTTTTGCAAGAATTTGGGCGCTAACCCTTCCCTTATCGTGTGCCACTGTCAGAGTTTGCCGTTGTCTCGTATGAGCTGAGCCTACAAGCAGGTAGCCCGTCAGCATTGGTTGTCAGCCAGGCTAGCTGTTGTGATTCACCGCTTTTTTGTCCGTGCTGAGGCTTGAACCACTCAAAGCTATTTCTCATGGTAACGCATCCAGTCGCGAGGACCGGCAGCCTCCAATGGCTCCAAGGACGTCCCAAATGGTCTGTCCAGGAAGTCGTGTATACCTTGTCATCTTCCATGAGGGCCAGCTCTTATAATCGTGAACCGTTTTGTGTCGGGATATGGGCCAGACTTGCAAGAGGCAGGCATATCAAAGCAGCAAATCTCCAACTCATGACCTGGAACATCCTGGAAAAGTAGTAGCCGATGTGAGCACTCAAGGCAATGCTCACTGTCAGCCAAGCTTCACTTGAGCCATCCGGAGGAGCCGGAGATTCAAGCGTGCTCCCGGCCAACCCTGCACACGGCCATCGTACTGCATACTGCCTGGGCAAATGAGATCCAAAGCAGCGAGTTGAAGTCCCCTACATCTCGAGTTCTACTCACAAACATTGAATGCCATAAGTTCGCTGGGGTATAAGAAACCCAACTTTATATTCTTGCTGACTTCCTTTGGCACACCTGGCAGGAAGCGGGGCCGATGAATCCCAACAAGGCACCAAGATAAAGTTCTCGCTTCAGATCGCAGTCGGCAGCAGAAGTACAGTCTTCAGCATCACGCGTCACCTGCGCAGGCTTCAGTCAAGTCGTATGGTTAGTGCGACTCGGAAGCTGAAAACTGCACATCTCATGCACATCTCACGACAGCCACAGAGTCTTGCATCACCATCGTGGAGCATGTTACAATTTGGAACTTGGAATTGCTAGCTTGTAAGACCCACGTCGCGGTCTACATTGCTCTTGCACGGGAGCCTGATGGCCGTGGCACAATGATCCATGTGAATTCTGGAGGGACTCAAGCTGGACATGTGCTTAGGTGCAGCGCTTGCCTGCCTTCAAGCCTAGCAGCAGCGTTTTTTCCTTAGCTCTGCGCATTCTTGCAGAGGACGCGCAAGCCTCTATCTCAAAGGACTCAAAATCGAGAAAGCCCTACTCACTTTGCCTGATTCCCTGGCTCGCAGGCCACGCTCGGGCGCAACAGCCTTCTTGCCTACGTCCTCGACTTGACATGAAGAGCGGACGAGGCGGCATTTGTCCAGCTAGCTTCAAATAAGGCGCGTGCCACCATTCGAGCGGAGTAGTGACCACCAGAGAAGGGCCTCTGACGATGACGGTTGCTCGGTTCCCCTCGCCTGTCACATCTCAAATGTGAAGCGCGCCCCATGATGGGTTTGGTTCTTCTGGCTGTCACGAGGTGTGCCTCCAGTGGTCATGTTCCAGAGGGAGACAACAATGCCAGATGCTTCAGCGATGTTGTCGGAACCTCAGCTAGAGAGGGAGTGGTACGGCTCCACCCTGTGCAAAGCCGAACACATGCTGCACAGAACCACGGCATAATTACAAGTCAAGACCAGCCGTTCAGTGATGCATATGCGCTTCGGCAGGATTGAAGCAGAGTCTGCCAGAGCTGTGCGAGCACTTCTTCCCTTGCTAAGCTTAGCCCAGAACGTCCAGTCACCACATTAAACTATAACATGCGGTGGCAAGTCCAGTAAGTTCTTGGTCAGGGTTCTGTAGCAAAGCTTTGCGCTGGACAGGCTGTCATCCGCCGTGCGATTCTCAGCAGCATCCGCGCAGTGGGGGTAGTCCACTGCATTGTAGCCGTGCCTCCAAGATTCTTCCAGACATAACAAGAGGCTGATGCTCTACTTCAACCATCTCTGCAGCCGATCCAGATGGTTTTCTTTCATGCATGAAACCTGGCAGAGTTGGGATGCAATTGACAAGACTGACAACTTCGTCTCTTAAGCCACGGGACCAGACACGCCACTGTTCCTGCATCCCGCTCGTGAAGTTCGAAGATTGAAACGGATTGCAGGTTGGACAGGATACAGCCAGCCTTCAGCTCGAATGGAGCCATCATTCATGTCAAAACAGTTACACGATAGTACAGGCTACGGCCATGCGAAGAATAGGACAACGTGGCATCATTCAATCCTTGCACACGCTGCTGCAAGCAAAGCTGTTGGCTGTGTCAAGACAAAGGAGCTCCAGGTCAAGTGGTCCAAACTCCTGGGAACGGTGCTGAGAAAGACCCACTGACAGGTAGGGCACTTTCAGCTGTCATATCCATTGGCTGCTAGACTCAGACATACTCAGACACTTGACAGGATGTGGACAAGCTGCACTTACAACAATCTAACCTCACTTGGGCTCCTTAGCCTCCACCACTGAAAATGTCTCCACAATTGGAGCGGCCAACCAAACGATCACCGCGCGCCTAACCAGGGTCAGCTGGGGCACGCTGGACATGTGTGCCACATGTTGGTATGCTGGTGAATGCGTCTCTGAAGGCTACTGCAGGCTGAAGCGAAAGAATGCTCAAAGTCCAAGGCGCACGGAGTAGGCGAGCAGCGCCGCAAAATAGAGCAGCAAGCCCACAGAATGCGCGCAATGACCTTGCAAATCTAACACTTGTACATTCATGGTTGGCTGGTCCGGTGTCATTTGGCATCAGTGTTGCAGGTGTGCAAACAAGCGCTACAGTCACTTGCAGCGGGTGAGACCTCCCTTGGCTGGTGCTTGTGTTGCTTGCAATGTCAGAAAACAGATGGCCAGCGAGGTGTCTGCAATTCCCTTTGCGAAGCAGGCTGACATCGATACTTTATCTACGCAAACTGACCACCTTTGGCTGGCCAGTGCAAGTTCGGGTGGGAAATGTTTCAGGCTATGCGCCATTGTCCGGCAACAGTGGTGCCCGGACTGGACGAACCAGCTGCACAGATGTCCCAAAACTCATGAAAAATGCGGCGTGCTGATCAGTATACATTATATACGCCTGGCCCTTCACCAAAACAATCGGGCTTGACTACTACCGAAGAAAAACAGCCACAGCAGTTGCAGTCCAACCCAGCCTTTAACTGGGTTTCGCTGAACTTGTCGGAAAGGGCTGCCACGAGTCACCTCAGGTGCATCCTTGACAGGTACTCCATCAGCTGGCCAGGTTGGACCTGGTGGAAGACGGTCCAAGATTGTGTAAGGTTCCATGGGACAGCCTGAAAGCTGCTCATGGGGCACCCTCTTCACGCTGAAAATTAATGGGGACACTTCCAGGCGTCCGCAAACAACAAGCATCCATCCTCATGAGGAAACACTGGCAAGGCAAGGTGCAGCCCCCCAAGAAGGCGCGCCATTACTCTCCTTCCCAGCCATGCAGAGGCACGAACTGCAAGTGCAAAACCTATGAGATGTTTGTTTGTCAGTGCTGGTCGTTCCTCCTAAATTGACGCGCAATATTTGCACAGTTTGCGCGGGGAGGTACTGGCAGGCCAAACTTGCCTTGATGGCTCAGGAGATGTGCCACTGTGATCAGCCAGCACCTAGACATTATAATTCAGGGCCATGGTGGCGTGTTGAAGCGTTTAGTACTGAGCCAGAACGCTGACGAACCCGCCATGGCAGATGCAATCCGTGCAGGGTTGCCAATGGAACTAAGAAACAAGTGAAAGTACCGCAGGCCCAGAAACGCTCTCCTCCTCCGCTGCAGTGAGCGAATCTACTAGAAGCAACAATCAAAAGAGCGCCTGAAGCCCTCTGGAATGTAGACCTTAGGGCAGGCAGCCTCAGCCTAAGACACGAGCCATGCGCAAACTTCCATAAGACATCCACATGCCCCTGTGCGTGATTGCATACAGTAACCTCCTGACTTCTGCTCACCCACCATCCTCCCGCATATGTTGCATGTCGCAACCAACTGAGAACTGTGCGGTGAGGGTCTGTCCGGGCAGTGAAGCCTCAGTCCATCCGCGCGGACAGATGGGAGTGTCTCAAAATCAAGGTCCCCTACTTGACGTTAGTACGCCCGAGGTGAAATTAACCCTCGTGGGCAGAACCCATACATAAAAAAGGGACCCACACTTTTCGGATAGTTGTGCAACGGCTCTGACTGATGCAGGGCTCCTGGCCAAGGATTGCTGGAAGCAGATCACAACTTGATTCAGAGCACCCCGCCTCAGCCAGGCAGAAGCACGTTGAGCCAATTTCTGTCCAGCAAGCTGAAGGCACTGCAATTGAATGCCGTCATGGCCTAAAAGATTACGAGCAAGACTGTCAGTCCGTGGAACCTTCGTTGCTGAAATCCAAGGTGCCCTTTCGTAAAGCCAGTCACGGAGAGATCGAGAAGCTGCGTGTCGATGAATGCATCATCTTAGTTTTGCGCAGGGCCCAAGTTATGGCCGAGTGCACCGCGGCAATGCGCGCTAATTGGGGAGGGTAGCCGCAGGTATCTCAGCGCTAATCTGATCCCCTGCCCTCTCTAATGTCATGTTCCTCTTTCTGAAATGGAACTCAGTGCTGTGCGGGGGCCGAGTGGGAAGGTTGATTTCTTTTGGAGACAGCTTCATTGGACTCATTGGACCCTGTGTAAGGTGCAAACTCATAGCCACAAGCACGGAGAAGCTGGCAAAAGCTCGAGGGCTGTCCTGCCAGGTTCGTTGGCTTCGCGGCATGACGCCGCTAGTCACCGTTAGTCTCTGCGTTGCTTCACAGCGTCTTCGCGGACACGTATTCATGCCACGTTTACCCAACGTGCGGTGGCGATTCATCATGCACACAACAAGCATTGCCAGTCCAAGAACACCACTGCAGCGTTGCCGATGTTTGTTGCCGCGGTAGTGCCTGCTGGACGCGGTTGATAGGGATTCAGCTCACATGCAGCTGAAAGAGCTTTCGCTCATGTACGAACATGGTTGTGACCGTGCGCACTGCCTGCCGCCACAGTATACGCCTGCCACCGGTACCTGCCATTGGCCACATGAGCCCTGCCCAAGACGCACTTGACGAATGCATTGTTTCACCAGCGAACTTGAGACCCCAACCCCCGGCAAAAGCAGCTTAAAGAGGGTTTGGAAAGAGTTCCCCACAGCAGATCGAGCAAGCCAAAATTGTTTGAACGAACCTGTTTGGAAAAACAAAAAAGATGCTATTAAAAGCCGAAAAGCGTTTAATAAAGTCTAATTCTAATCATATCTTTTTTGAAGTGGCCGAACTTTAGAACCCACAAGACTTGAAAATGCTACAAATTCAGAGGTGCCTCACCGAAAAGCCTGTGCAGAGGGAGGGGTTTTTTCCTTAACGTTGGCGCAGGCTGCTTTTTTTTCCTAACGTTGGCTCCACTTGGGGGTTCCTCTAGTAAACATAATG